TTTTGTGAGTTTTTCCTTGATGTTTTGAGAAGAGTTCTTCACTCATGATCTAAAATACATACATCAAGGAGTTGGTTTCTTTAAATTCAAGAGAGAGTTCTCTTCGGTGGATTCCGAAGATTCTAGCATATAGTTTCGAAAGGTGTTTGATTCTATATGTGGGTGAGGTTGTGGAATCAACTTCAAGATTGATCAGTTCCGAGATGAAGTCGTGAAAAAGAGTTACAGAAGATTCGGAGACAGATTGACTAAGTTGGGTAATTTGTAAAATTTCTTTGTAATCTTTTTACTTCAGTAGTGGATTGATTTATGGCGTTTCGCCCGTGGTTTTTTTAATCACAGTTGGAGGTGTCCAATTGTGGTTTTTTCCACGTAAAAATCCTTTGTGTCGATTTATTATTTAATCTGACAAAACAAACAATCTAAATCACTTTCGTAAGTGCTTGTTGATTTAGATTGTGTGTTTTGGATTTTTGGGATTTGGAATATTTTAATCTTGATCTAATCACGAATCACTTAGATTTTCAATTACTATAAAGTATATACTTTATTTTGCCTATCAACTGTTTTATGTTTTTACTCCAACCATGCTCTTTATTTTAGCTATTTATCCAAATACTATTAATTTTATAGAATGCCACGTCAACAATAAAGATGGAGGGAAATGATCCTAATGATTAAATACATTTTGCCTAGCGTTGAAGGCTAGCTACATGTAGCTAGTGAATATGAGTTGAGCCAAAATGCCTAATCATATGCCTAGTGTATTGGAATTGAAAAAAGTGAATCACACTAGGCATTTTAACTAACAAGTATTATATGCCTAGTGCATTGGAGATGCTCTAAAATTTAGATTAAGCCCCAAAGCATTAATCTAAATTTTTTTATTTTAAATGTTAAAAATACGAATTAATAGTTCAAATTTATGTTGACAGGTACATTAACCTAGCAAAAAACTTGTGCCAACATGCTTGCATATTTTTTATTTTTATTTTTATTTTATTTATTTATTTTTTGTAAATGGATAGAAGATTAATTATATATATGAAAAATATTACATCAAATTGGACAATTAAAGTTCAACAGTAGACAAAGCCATATATTGTATCAATGGAAAATGCCAACTGAGTTGTGATACACGCACTAGCTTGAAAATTTTCAAAGTTCCAACGTTTATGAGACTCCCAAAAGGGTTATGTCAATTTGATCAACAATAATGGTATAATTTGTTAAGTGTCAATTTTTAATTTATCACAAATCCAGTCATATAACACATAACTTTCTTGCCACATCATTATTGATGAATTATAATATTTAAATTGTGATTTTCTAATATTTCTATTATAAAATTTAATAGTAAATGGGATTCGAACTCAAATGTTACTATGTAGACACTAGAAAATATACTCTTATTTAGGAGATTCTATAAGTTTCTAATTTCAATATACTCTTATTTATGATTCATGAGATCATATGTATCCGTAGTTGTATTATTTTCTTCTTTAGTTATAATCAATTTTCTTCTTTAGTTATGATATTATTTTAGTTACACTACAACAAAATTGGCCTATAACCACATTTTTTAGACAACGTTTTTCTGAAAAACGCTGTGCAAGAGCTAAAATGAAATTAAAGACACGCGTGTTTCACTTTATAACGGTGCTCCGTCTCCCTCTGCCCCCATTTCTCTTTCCGTCATTTTGTTTTCTCTCTCAATTCTCTCTATCGTTTTCTATCTCCGTCCTAGATCTAGGGTTTTCTTTATCTGCTCATGCTCCTTGAGAGATTCACCAGGGTTCAGATCTAATTCTAAATCCATCGATTTTTGCATCGATTTTGTTGAAATTTCTTGATGGTTTTTTGGTTTTCTTGATTTTGATTCTGATGATTTTGTAGAGGAAGATGGTTCGGTTGAGTTGCACAAATCGGCGGGGTTACGAGACCGAGGAATGAAAAAGGATCAAGATCATCGTGATCGAGACCGATCCAGTCGGAGCAAGAGGAAACCAACCGATGAAATGATAGGCTTTTCTGTTCCAAGAAAAGCTCAAGCGCGATGGCATTGGATGCGTTCTACCTGTTGAAGCTCCTCCTTAGGTCTGGTCCTCCCGTCGCTACCATCCCTCAAGTCCTCTCTCTCTCTCTCTCTCTTTCTCTCTCTTTCTCTCTCTATTGCTCCATCAGATCTTCGATCTGGCCTCCCTTCATTCGAATTTTATTTTTTTTAATCCTTTCACTTGTTATTTTTGGTCCGCTCTCTTTTCAATAGAATCTCATTCACTTTGATCTTTTTGTTTTTCAATCTAACTATTTTCAATTTTTTCAATCTATTTTTGGTCATCTATTAGATTGGTTTGTCTCTATATTTGGCTTTCATTATATTTTTGTATCTCTCGTATTTGTTTGTGTTTGTCAGAAGGTTATTATCCTACATTTTCAAGTTGGCAAGGGGAATGCAGAAGTGGTTCTATCTCTGGTTGGATACGATCAAGAACTAAAGGTATAATTCAATTGTGTGTGCTGGAATGTTTCTAGCATGTGCCTTTCTTAATGGGCCAAAATCTTGTTCGCATTCGTGCGATTTTGTTTTTGGTTGGATAAAAGAACTTTGGCTTGGGTTAGTTATATTTTGTTTTTAAAGAGAGTTTATATGTGTTGCAAAGTGCTATGGAATGTGTATTTGGTTCAACATTTGTTTGCAAAACTATTGATGCAGCGAGGGCGGTAAGTCTTTTTCAGTAATCCTTTTTCCTCGGGTGCCTTTGTAGATGATTCTAATATATATTTTCCATTTGAAGATGACATGTTTTCTTTTGTTGCTTTGCTGCTATGCTTGTGGTCATGTTATATTTGAGTGCAACTATTGATTCTACATGTTGATTTAAATGTACTATAGTTCACAAAGAACACTGCAAAAAAGGATAAGACAGCATGTGGTGCTGGATTTGTTTTCTCAGAAGTTAGAATTGATGAATGAATTTATTTTTTGACAAAAATTTTAGAAACATATGCACTATGGTTTGAGGTTATGCTATTGATCTGTAAAAGTGTTAACTTAGCTAAACCTTATTTTTGGTGTCGGGCCAAATTAATTTGTCGTCTTGTATGTGTCTAAACTACTACGTATTTTGAATAAATGTGTTTTTTGTGATCTTGTTGAGCTTGATCTCATTTTCACATTAATTACTAGTCCATAGGTTGCTTTTAATAGAGAAATTGGCACCCCAAGTGTCACTCTCGATGGTGATATATTTCAGCCAAGTGGCCTTTTGACTGGTGGAAGTCGCAAGTAAGCGAATATCCTTGATGCTTTTGCCCATTCTTGAGAATAGTAACGATTTATAATTTTGGTCAGTTGTTACTTGTACTTTTTAAGGATGGGAGGTGTGCAGAAACATATGACATTCTTCCAGATGGATTTAAACTGAAAAAGGAAGATGGTGTTTACTACATGTCCTATGCCATGGGCAGAGGATGCCTTACATTTGGGGAGATGATGCAAAAGATTTCTGACCTGAAAGATGGCTCAACAATGGTGTTTTCCAACCTAAATCACCGTTCAAATTCATCGCATTTCATGTACGTTTATAGTTTATTTTTATTTTTTTTTTACAGGAAAGATTATACATGCTTATATTTATTTCTGGCAAAAACAAAAATGAGAACATGGAGATGGAATGCGTGATTGAGTTTCCACACACGCACATGGATCGCCGTCCCAGAAGGTCGCGTTTGGGTTGGGACGTTGCTCCTCAGGCCTTAAGGTATCAATTCTGTTCTCTAGATCTCTGATTTCATAATTTTTTTTTTCTTTTTTTTATTCTATTTTGTGCTAGATCTAGTCGAAATTAGATACGTGGTAGATCAGGTATAAGAAAAGGTTTATGCTTTTATGTTTGATCGATTTTTATTGGCTAATTCGATGTAGTTTCTTACAGATCTGTAAATTTCATGCTTTTATGTGTTCTTTGTTGTTATCTGTGTTGCTGTGGCTTGTGTCATTGGTATAGCTGTTTGCTGCTGTCTTCCATCTATAATTGCAATATTATATGCAGTAGCAGATCAGGTAATTTACAGAAGTCTCTTTGGTTTTGTGTTTATTTCCATAAAAGACTTGATATATTATATTTCTAATCCTAGATTTTTCAATTGCAAAATAGTTATCTGAGTTTGGACAGAAACTTCTTACTTTGTTTGCAATTTGAATACACCTTATGTCTTTGGGTGAGTGACATCATGGAATTTATTGGCACATTGTCTGTGAGAAAATGTAACATTACTGACACATGACAGAGTGTAGAAATTTCTTTCTATGACTATAGTGGTGGAGCTTGCTCGAGATACTAGTGCACTGACTACCTTGTACTATGTTCCTAAAGAGGAGATATCATGCTAGGAGCATTGGATCAGAACCGAGATCTGAGTTTGGGTTGTTAATTCTCTCTCTCTCTCTCTAAGTTAAAAGAGTTCATGGTCAACTATCTAGTCTGCACTTAGAATTGCTTTACCAAATGTCTGTTTGGTTATTTGATCTCACTTTTACTCTGAATGTTGAATGTTTCTTCTTTGTCTTGGCATTAAGTTCTGTATGAAAATAGGAAGGAGCAACAAAGGAAGACATTGAACGACTGTCCAAATACAAATTTCGGAGGGTTGGTGACTTTGAGAAACAAAATGAGGAGATTCTAGAATCTTTTAGAGGAATAATTACAGAATGTGATACTGATTCACCAATTGAACATGTTCTTTCCCCAGAAAATGCTGTAAGTTTCCTAATTTAATCAAGACATTCTTTCATGAAAATTAAGAAAGTTCTAAAAAAACATGCTAAAAAACTTGCCACATTCCCTTTTACAACTACATCATTTTCATGAAGGTTATGACTTGCATTCAATCCTCAGACATGAAGATTGATTCTGCACTAATTTGATAGTGTAGATATAGTGTGATGACTAATAGCCCTTACCATTATGGGATTTTTTTTTTTTTGGCTTTCTTTTATTGCTTCTAAAAAAGAAAAAGAAAAAAAGAGGCGCAAATTATCATTGTAAAATTGTGTTGTTCCTTGGTATCTTCAATCACTGAAAATAAATAATAAACATTACTGAATTCGGGACCTGTTTATTGTCAGGTCATTAATATTTCATTTGCATGCTATGTATAAAAAGAAGAAGTTTGTTAACATGTGTCTTTATGGCATGTGTTAAGATGGCTTAAAAGTATTGTACATTTTTTATTAGACGCACACTTTTATGCAGAATATACAATCTTTTTAAGCTTTTTAATATGTGCCCCAACATGTTTACAAAACCCATAAAAAAAAGCTCGTTAATAGGTGTGTTCAATTACTTAATGCTAGATTTCTTTATAGCTTACAACTTTCCATGAACTAAGTCAACGGTTAACCTTTGACACGACTCATGAATCACAGGAATGTTGCATTTGCCTTTGTCCCTATGAAGACGGAAGACAGAACTGAACTGCATGAATTCCCTTCACGCCATCATTTTCACTGCTCCTGCATAGACAAGTGGTTGTACATCAATGCTACATGTCCTCTCTGCAAGTTCAATATACTGAAGAACGGCAATCAAAGTCGTAGCGAGGAAGTGTAAGAAAAAAGCTAGTTCTTCAATGGATTGATAACTTTGGATCTTGTTATGTGTATTTCGTGATTTTGCCAATACGGTAATCTTTTTCTTCTCAAGATTTGCTTCGGCTGAAGTGTTGTTTACGAGTACATCGTGTTGTTTTCCTTTGTTTATGTTTGTTTAATGTATATGGGTTTTTTTTTTTTTTTAACAGACCACTGTTGTGTTAGCTGCTGATGTAGCTTTTGTTTATTGTGCAATCTATAATCTTTGGAATTCAAATGTTACAACATAAAAAGTGTTTTGAAAAATTGTAATTACTCTAATAATTCTGATTGTAATGGATCCATGACTTAAAACTCAACTAGAGAGAATACCATAAATATGCATCTAATTTTAATTTTTAATCTTTTTTCTCGCTAGCTCACACAGTGGTTAGGTACTAAAGAGAATATCATAAATATCATTAATTTTGATTTTTTTTTTTATAAAAAAAGGGAAAGGCGATGTTTTTTAGAAAAACGTTGTAAAATGTCGTCATGATTACATCATTTAACTACACTGACAGAAATAGTTTAGAATTAAGTGACGTTTTAAAAAACGTCGTATAAGCTCTATAGTGGCGTTTTTAAAACGCCATAAAGATATGACAGGGGCTGTATCAGCGGTGAATTTTTTAAACGTCGCTTTATCTTTTTGTGGCACTTTTCTGGCCATTTGCAGCATTTTAAAAACGCCGGTAATTCGCAATTTTCCTGTAGTGTAACGCCCTCGAAATAATAACATTAAACCCATCAAATAAGACATGCATTGATATGTAAAAGTTCCACATTCTTCCATTTAACAGAATTCCATTACAAAGGTATTACATGTTAACAACAAAAGCAAATGCCCTATGGGCTTACAGCTTTCCAAGTTAACACTTGGTTACAACAAAAGAGTACTAACTCATATATATTAAGCCCTTGGCTTGAAATTACACGTAATACATCAAAAAGTAAAACGACAAAGTATGTCCGCCTCTAGCCTCCCAAGCTATGTCCTTGGAGGTGGCATGCTACCTGTACCTGAAAATGATATTCCCATATAGGGTGAGCCACAGCCCAGTAGAAATACACTAAACCAACCATGAACAATGACTAAAAGATTAGCAAAAATATGTCTGGCCAACACTGATACAATCACATAAATAACATATTTATGTCATACGACTTATGAGTCCAAGTTACCTTTCATTTTTCCCTTTTTCAACGGATAGTATATAGGCACACAACTAGAACCCATTTCCTGAACAACCAATCATGTTTTTTTGTTTTGTTTTTTTATTTTTTGGTGTGAGTTTACTGGACTCAAATCAATTACGATCATTACACATGTGTTTGATAGAATGA